TTAAAGTGTGAGATAAGCCTGATATCTCTAAATAAAGTTGTAGTGGTCAAAACAAGGATTACGGGGATATAAAGAACACCGAAATCCGAGTTATAATGAAGAAGTTATGACCCGTCGAAGTTTCACGACGGAATCGGCGCTACATCGGGAAGCGTAAATAGTGAACTTACGATAGAGCGACTTTTAGCCTTAGAAATCTAAACCAAAGTCATAGAATATGTTAAACTGAAAGTGTCCATAAAAAGAACACCCAAATTTGACTTCGTATGAAGAAGTTATAAGATTTTAACGGACCAATCCTGTCTCAGCCTGTTAAAAATATAACTTTAAAAATAAAGTCAAAATTAGCCGACGGAGTCTAAACGAAAGTTGTAGAGTACGTCTCCACCTATTCGTGGATATAAAGAACGTTAAAAACGGAGTTCGTATGAACAAGTTACAAATTATAATAGCATATTTACGTATTAAAATAAAGTATAAATCATATATACGCACACACACATACACACATATATATATACACATATGTATATATCATTAGAAAGGTATCGACGATGCGGTCATTATAAGATTAATGTTGAGTTCTTTCGACATTAGTTTAGTACAAATATCATTAAATCCTTTTAAAATAGTATTATAGAGGGTTGTTTAGTTGTTTATATAACTAAAATGTCATTAAGTAATTATGGAGGATAGTTTTTGAAAATTCAATTAGTATAAATAAGAGCCTTGGACTCTCATATTTCTTGCACCATTCTCTTGATTCAAGAGTCTTTCTCTCCTTATCCTTCGAGCATTTTGGTCCCTCGTGATTCGACTTCTCTTTCTGTAGTTTTTAGTATAGTAAGGTGAGCACTGCACAAATCTTTCTTAAAAAGATTCAGCGACGAAGTTCTGCTCCTGCAGAGCCCGACTCATAAGCTAAAATCCCCTTGTAAGTAAGTTATGCTTACCCTATTTTAATATAGCTTATATTTAAAATTAATATTGTTATTATGAACTTATAATAAATATTTGAGCTATTATTATGACTTATAGAAGTGTCGTTATAATATCTTTTTAACTACTCGCGGTACGGTGAATCTGGTTTAAACGGCCGCATAGGGTTGTTGGATTTCAGAAATGCTATACGCCAAAATGGTTCTACCATCCGGTGTTTTATGTCTGGCCCCTGTGTGTACATAGTGGTTGGAAAGTATTGTCTAAACGTTTATATAATAATAATAACAATAAGACTAATAGTTAGTCACGGTAAATATTAGACTAAAATCTAGTGGTAATAATACTAGGTTTCGTCGAAGGAAATTATTTTAAAGTAAACAAAGCGTTGTCCGAGTACTGAATCACTACCTTTTCAAGTGAGTGCATAGTTACTTTCATCTTACACATAGATATGAAGTATTTTATTAATTATGTGCTTTGTGTGCAAATTATCTGTATACTTGTTATCTATGCTGGATAAATGTTTTTATACAAGTTTTAAATGATTTAAACTGTATATGTATTTTATATCTACAAAAATATTGGGGTAAAACATGGGTAGACGTAATAAGACGATGTGTGATAAAATGATGAGAGGCCTCGATGTTGTTGTTGTTGATCCAGTCATTTAGCGGAGTATAGAAGACGACCACAAACTCTTCTACACGGTCCAGTAGAACAGTGGCAGGCTCGCAACCTGTAGGTGTCTGTGAACGATGTGTTCACCGGTGTACTCCATCCCCCTCATGTTTGCCTTTAGGACATTTATTGTTGAGGAACCCCCTTAGCAGTAGTGTCCATCCCGATGATGATCCTTAGGATAGGTCCCTTATGATAGGTGTTTAGGGACGTAATGTGAGGATAACGGGATCAGGTAATCGGGTTATTGTTGGTCGATGAAATTAATAACCTTATTTATTGTGGGTTGAAAACCCTATGTGCTCACCAGGCTCCCAAGCCTGACCTACTCAATTTTATGTATTACAGGTAGTGGCGCTTGAGCATAGTTGTGATGTGTTGGGATGAGGGATTACAGATATAGGCTTGTAGATATGAAATAATGTAGTAAGGCTTATATCGTATTGTTTATACTTATGTACTGTATCGAACATGACATCCCGAATCTTTTAATGAAATACATTTCTAAGGAAATGCTTTTGATAACTCTTTATCATATTATTGTTTTGGGACAAATTCCGCAATTCTTTTATTAAAAGGTTACTCTGATTTTGAAATAAAGTATAAACAAAACCGGTCTTTTTTGGCCGTGATTTTGGGGATGTTACAAATTATCACAGAGACAATCATCTCAACTATAATCAACTACTAGTGGATCGGCCTTGGTGCCTTAGACCCACTTCTACTGGAAGGTAACTCGCCTCGTAAACTGCGTGTCGAACCTTGCGGAGGAAATCTCTAACAGCTGCTCTGATGACTCCCGGCTATCAGAGACACATAACACTCAATCAAAGTCTATAATACTACTCAGGGTAAAATGACCGTTTTACCCATTCGGTTCAATTGGGACATGCTTAAGTCCTAATTCTAGCTTATCAAGCCCAGCTCTCTTACGATCCATTAAGGATTACATAAGGGCCCACTCATTGTCCAATTTCTGAATTAAACCTTATTTTCCCCAAATAGGCCCAAAAACTCCCAAGTCTAATATAATAATTCTCAAGGGCCCAATCTTGGCCCAAAAAGGCCCAATACTCTAGTTCCATATTCCTAAGTCCAAAATGATACTTCACAGTGGGCCATGGGGCCAAAAAGTCCAGGCCCATCCTCTTAGGGACCAAAACCCCAATTTTCCAAATATGCATGCGTATGCGCGGCGTACCCGGCACGTACGCTGGCCTTGACCAAGACGGGGAGTTTGACCCAGTACGCGCGGCGTACTAGGGAGTACGCCCAGCGTACTGGCCATCTTCTTTGGGAGTTCAATTATGACTAAATCTGTTAAGTCTTTACGTCCAAAATGCCGATCCGTGTTCTTTTAGACCTCCTAAACCATAAAGTCATGAACTTTATGTGCTTGTATGCAAGGTTGGGGTTAAAACATGTTTTTGGTCATTTTAACAAACTTTAAGACCCACAAACACTTGCATGGATGTGGCTTAACCACCAAGGTTCGATTTTTATGACTCTTAGTGCCCTTAAGAGCCCAAAAGGACAACTATTATGGTCTGAAATCATTAAGATGCAAGACGCTTCAACAATTGAGTCCAAAAGTAACTTTAAACACTCCCCATAAACAAATCTAAGAATATAATGGCTAAAGATGGAACTTGATACCTCAAATAAGTCAAACATGGTGCTAATTTCTGGATCTACAAGCTCTTGGTGGATCCTTGCTCCTTCTTCAAGTTCCTTCCTCTCCCAAAGCACCAAAACTACACCACCAACTCTCAAATAGCTCCCAAATCACAAGAACACACAGAAGTAGGCTAGGGTTTTCGTGAAGGCTGTATGAGGGTGAAGGGAGGCTGAACAATAGGGGTGATGTTCTTTATATAGGGAGTAAACCCTAAATTTTAGGGTTTAAAGAGCTGCACACGTACGCTGGGCGTAATCCTGGTACGTTGGGCGTACGTGTTTAGCCTCCGCGCTTCCTTTCCACGAGCACACTGCGCGTACATGGCAATGTACGCCCCGCGTACATAGCTTCCTCGGCCCACTAGCAAGGCCCAAAGGTCAAAGCCCAAACCAAACCACACCCCACTTCAATTAGGATGAATAATAATAATACATGGAAAATCCTGGATGCTACAAATCTCCCCCACTTGAATTAGACTTCGTCCTCGAAGTCGTTGCCACTGCTGAAAATAAATCGGGATAGTGCTCTCTCATCTCATCCTTCGGCTCCCAAGTCTATTCCGAGCCTTTGCGGTGCTGTCACTACATCTTCACCCCTCTACTTCCTTGTTCCCCAACGCATTCTTCTTCCTATCTGGAATGGCTATCAGTCGCTTGATGTAGTTCATACTATCATCCACCTGAATATCCTCGAGAGGTACCACTGCAGAGTCGTCTACCAAGCATTTCCGTAGCTGGGATACGTGAAAGGTGCTATGAATCTGACTAAGCTCGGCTGGGAGATCTAGCATATATGCCATCTTGCCCACCCGGGCCGTAACCCTAAAAGGACCGATGTACGTAGAGACCAACTTGCCACACTTCCTGAATCGAATGACGCCTTTCCAAGGTGACACTTTCAGGAGTACCATATCCCCGACCTGGAACTCCAGTTCCGATCGATGCTTGTCGACATAACTTTTCTGCCGATTCTAAGCAATATGAAGCCTGCTATGAACCTGCTGGATCCTCTCTGTAGTCTTGAGTACCACTTCGGTACTCCCTATGACCCTCTGACCAACCTCACCCCAGCATATTGGGGTCTTGTACTTCTTCCCATACAACATCTCGAAAGGAGGACAGTCAATACTCGCATGATAGTTGTTATTATAGGAGAACTCAGCCAAAGGAAGGTAAGTATCCCAACTACCTCCAAAGTCTAAAACACATGCCTGTAGCTTGTCCTCCAGAGTCCGGATGGTCCGCTCACTCTGACCATCCGTCTGTGGGTGAAAAGCAGTGCTGAAGTGCAGATGAGTACCCAACTCATCGTGAAACTTCTTCCAGAATCTGGAAATAAACCGCATATCTCGATCCGAAATCACTGAGACTGGCGCTCCGTGCCGAGCTAGTACCTCTCGAATGTAGATATTGACCAACTTCTCGGCCGAGATGCTCTCTTGGATCGGTATAAAATTGACACTTTTGGTTAACCGATCCACGATGGCTCAAATCAAAGCCACTCTCCGTGCAGTCCTGGGAAGCCTTGTGATGAAATCCTTAGTAATATCTTCCCATTTTAGTAATTAAAAAAATGAATGAATAGGTGTAATCTTGTCAATACACTAATCAAACTAAATAGGTTTTGCATTTACTATTTTAACCTCGTTATCTATACTCGTCCACAGTCCACGTCCACGTCCACGTCCACGTCCACTGGATCCATGAACCGGGTTCACCAAATTGTGGATACCGTAGAGTCGGTACCGGGTCATCTTCTTCGCAATTAGCATCCGATAACCACCTCGAACCCCTTCCAATCCCACTCCTAATTTTCTTTCGTCGTTACGTCACTGTTTGCACGGTTGGTTGATTCTCACGTTCTGATCTTGAGGTACGAAGCTGTAAAAAATTCGAAGAAATTAGGGTTAACAAGGGGATCCAATTTCTTTCGACTCGAAAGGCGCACTTTTATTAGGTAATTTAGTTATCCGTATCGCTTTCTATTTCATCATATTCTTTCTTTCATGTGAAATTAATTGCTTTATTCATTGATAATGTGATTTGAAAACCTGATATAGTTACTGTATGTTGGGGATTAGGGTTTTTATCTACAAGGATCTTAATTTTTTTTATTTGTTTGTTTAGAGTTAAAACTAGAGTATGGAAGAGTCGAAGCATAAATCTAGTAAGAAGGAAGATTATGTGAAGAAGGAGGAAGAGTTGAAGAGGGGGCATCGTGAGAAGGATCGTACTGGGGATAGAAGTACAAAGAAAAAGAGAGGCACCGAGATAAGGAGAAGGAGAGAAAAGAGAGGGAGAGAAGGCAGAGGAGAAAGAAAAGAGAGAGAAGGAGAGGGAGAGAGAAACGTAGAGACGGTGAGAGGGATCGAAATGGTGGTGGAAATGATGATGTCAGAGATAGAGATAGAAAGAGGCGGAGGAAGATAATATTGGGACGAAAAAGGCTGATGGAAATTCTTGAGATAAGAAAGAAAAGAAGTAAGAAGCTATGAATGAAGAAGAGCGAAAGTTGGATGAGTAAATGGAGAAGAGTTAAAGAATGGCAGGTAACAAGAAAAAGAGAAAAAAGGAGGAGAGGAATCTGAGAGAGAAGAGAGGGATGAACCCAAATCAGGAAAGACTTGGACTTGGAGTTTAGAAGGGAGAAAAAAGGAGGAGGAAACTGGTGTTTCTCTGCCAGGTGTACTTGGTGTTACTGTTACACCTGGCCATGAGCTTGCAGCATGATTCTTTGCCTGAGCATTATGAGATTAATGATTTCCCTGAAAACAATTTTGGTGCTATTACTACTTACTACCAGGGGTCAATATATCCAGCTCTACTTCACAATTCAGTGATTCACAACACAAGCTTGCATCCTCTCTTCCAACTTCACAACCAGGGCGTAAGAGTATGACCAGGGTCAATTCTAGTTTAAGATGTGTTTCTGATTGTAGGTTGGTTGGGACTTTGTTGCTTTGTTTCTTGAGTTGGACCGACAGTGTTGCCAAGTTAGCCTAGGGTTTACTAAAACCTTCCTTCCTTTTTTAACCCAAACACCTTCATTGCCTATGTGATTCGTTATATTCTAAGGGCATTTGATAGGGGGAACTAGATGGTAATAACTTCATTAAATCTCATTATTTGCAGGTTATTATTATAGATTGAGGATGAAGCTATTCAACAACTATGCATTCATTCGGGAGTACAACCACTAAACTAAAGGCAGTAGGGTTTTATTAAAAGTTGCATTACTTTTCATCTCCATTGGTTTGTTTTTCTTTTTGTTGGTTTGTAATATCTACTTTTTTTAGAATCAACTGTTGAGTATCTGTAATATTAACTGTTGTTATAGTTGATACTTTATGGAAATAATCTTGACGAATTGGACAATTTGAGAATCAAGTATTGAGGTCTGGAACTACAGTCAACAGTTTTCATATAATGGAGTTGCATCGAGTCACAGGTGGATATGTTAAATTATGTTTGATAGCATTAAAATTTGCATAATCTTGAATATTTCCCAGTCCTGGGTATATGATTTCACTTGCAGAAACAATTTTCTAAAGCGAGCACAATGGCACTAGTAACTGCATCCAGGATTTTCACTGTAAACATTTTTATTTTGCTTCATGTAAAACATTAAAATAAACCATATCGGCCTCATGATCCATGAAAAGTTTCAAAGGACAAACTTAATATGTGAGTGTGAGATTCCGAGTTTTGGGCGTATGATTGATGCAATACATCGTGGTAACCCCCGATAATAACACACCGCCGCATGGATGATTCGCGAAGGTGAAAAACTGTACTATACCTATTACCAAATGTGTCAAAAACTTAGTTGGGCGTTTTTATATTTAAGATCAGGTTCCAGTTTTCAAGATTCCTCCCGTTGTGATAAAATGTGGTGAGGAGATTAGGAACAAAAATTAATGTGTCAAAATGATATGGTTTTAGATGCCTTTATTAGATTAGATGCTTTTATTCTTTATCCAATCCAAATGGGGTTGACTCTATCCTTAGGAGCCAAATTCTAGGACCCTATGGAGAGTTACTACAAGGATCTTTGGTACTGACTAATGTCAATTTATGGGTCCCTCCAATATCTTGTGTCTGATTTTTGTGATTATAAATACGAGTCTCGCCTCTTTGATGAAGATACAAACGAGTGACTAGTTGGAAGGCAATGGTTGTTAACTCTCCCTCAAGGGCTTCTTGCTTTTTAGTTTTGTTGGGATTTTGAAACATACAAGCAAGGAGGTCTTGGGGGGGTTTTAACAAACAATGTCTTTGTTGTTGTTGTTGCTGTGTGAAAAGTGAAAACTTGGATGCTATTAAGGCAGCTTTTTGCCATCTCTCCCTCAAAGACTTCTGACATTTTGAAATGGCCAAAAGTCTCCAATGTCTGGGGTCTTTGAGGAGGGATGGCAAACCGTTGTCTTGATCATGTATATTTGCTCTAATCCTACAACCAAAAATGTTTGCCAAAATCATGACAAACTTGCTGGGGGGGAAGGACTTAATGGGGAAGGCATCCCATCCCATCCTGAGCTTTATCTTTCCATATAAGCAAAACAACAACACTAACACATGTGTATCAAGTACTGGTTAAGTTGTGTCTTTATTAAGTTCCATGTATAAAAATTGATGGCTTCAATCTTCATCACAATCTCTATCTCTAGCCCTGAGAAACAATGGTGACTTAATGTAGTATTGTTGACATGCTTGCTTGATTTTGCATAGAGAATCAAACTAAATGATTTCAACTTTTAAATTGTAAATAAGGCTAGTAGAATAATCATACTAGCAATGCTTTCTATTCTGAGTATAGCATGTTTTACATAAACTAACAATTTCCTATATTTTCATCATATTAGGATCAATTGTTTTGTTGTTAGGATCTAGGACTAGGAGCAGCAACGAATGTACTTCAATTTTAGCCATTGATAACAGTTCCTTCCTTTTTCTTGTATTTTAATTGTCAAATTTTGATGGCCAAACTAGATTTAACAATTAGCAGCGGAAAATCAGGTGCCTTGTTATTTTGCGTTTGAAATTGTATTATTTGAAATGAGAATTGGTTTAAAGCATGAGGTTGCTATTGGGTGTGGTTAATTCTTAAAGACGATGCAATTTCAAGCAATTTACTTGAGTACAATAAATATACACAATTGGGTTTGCTTTAGAGGGTCATATATATATATATATATATATATATATATATATATATATATATATATATATATATATATATATATATATATATATATATATATATATATATATATACTATCTTATAAAACAAATCCCACTATTTCTAAAAATAGATTGAATAAAATAATAATATTTTTTAAGATGTCCAAATCATTAAGCTAATTGTACAACTAATCACTAATCAAATAATATTAAAATTTAAACAAACTCCTATAAATCTTTTCTTCCAAAGTTTTGACCAAATCTTTTTTCATCCAAATAAATACTCAACACCCTATAATTTGTTCATTTCATTAATTTTCTTTATTTTTGATATGACATGTTTCCTAAAACAAACTAATGATTGAATTGAAAATAATCATTCTCCATCGAAAAGAAATTAATTGTCGAAACAAACTATTTGTCGCCCGCCGCTTTGCACGGGTAAACGGCTAGTATATATATATATATATATATATATATATATATATATATATATATATATATATATATATATATATATATATATATATATATATATAACCCGCTGAAAATTCATCTTTTGTTATATAAAAACCATTTTATTGCTTTCATCATTTTTTCTTTGTTGGTTTAGTGGTTAACCCCGAAACTATTAGACTTTGGAGATAATGACTCAAGAGTAAATTACATGAATGGTCCTTATGGCTTAGGATAATTTATGTGTTTGGTCCTTAACTTACTTTTTTTTTTAAATGGAAGGTACCTATTGTTTGTTTTTGTTATGTAATTGGTACATATCTTACCTAAAAAGAGTATTTTGCCATTGATTTTTCAAATTTATTTAAATAAACACTCCTTACCCCTTCCCTCTCACCTTACCTTACCTTACCTACCCCATTATTTTTTCCTATTTAAATAATAGTATTTTTATGTAAGATAGGGATCAAATGTATAAAAAACAAACAGTAGGGATTAATCACGTAATAAAAACAAAAATAGTAAGGACATTCCAAGTTAAAAAAAAAAAAGTTAAGGACCAAGCAAGCAAATTACCCCAAACCACAGGGACCAATTTGTGTAATTTACTCATCACTTAAATGAGTAATATATTTTTCGATTTGTACACATTTGGTCACTAAGTTTTTTTTTCTTTCACATTTGCCTTCAACTTGTTTAACTGTACACATTCAATCCTATGACCGGTTATTCCAGATAAACCGAACAAAATGATTTAATAGGGTAATATATTTCTCACTTTTTACATATTTAATCATTAATATATTTTTTGCACATTTTGTCCTTAATATATTTTTTGTTGCAAAATAATTATTTGTTGTTTTTATATACATTCAGTACTTATGATCTAGTTCTTTAAGTTTTTCTCACTAATTCCTAGGTCGGACAATCATTAATGAGGTGTTCGGGACTATTGATGCTTATGGCTACCGCGACCTCATCAACTGCTTGGGTGCTTAGGTCTTGTATTCTGAACGACGTAACTTCTTCATACGATCCCGAATTTTAACGATCTTTATATTCACGTTTTCGTATTTGAGTCTACTACAACTTTCGTATATATTACTTCCGTTAAAAAAATAATATATTTTTACTTACTATATTTATATACGTGTGTTCTTTATAGATATATGTATGAACATTTTTTTATAAAGTTGTAAGTAAAAATATATTACTCCCTCCATCCCAAAATTATTATCCACGTTTGATTTTTGAAGTCTTTCCATGTCAACTTTGACCATAAATAACCTTATTTGTGTTATATAATTTTTGTTGAAACTTATAACAATGAAAATATATTTAAAATACAATCTATTTATATATCTGGCATAAAAAATTATATAATAAAAAGTAAATTACTTAAGATCAAAGTTGAACAAAAGAGACTTAAAAAGTCAAACGTGGACAATAATTTTGGGACGGAGGGAGTACTTTTTAAAGTAAGTAATCTAAGTTTCTTGGTTACTTAGGTCTTTTGTTCTGAACGTCAAAACTTCTTCATACGATCTCAAATTTTAACGATCTTTATATTCACACGTTCGTACTTAAATCTACTACAACTTTCGTTTAGATTACTTTCGTTAAAAAATATATATTTTTACTTATGTTCTTTATATACATGTGTTCTTTATGAATGTAGGTATGAATGGTCTTTTGTAAAATCATAAGTAAAAATATATTACTTTTTAACCGGAGTAATTTAAACAAAAATTATAGTCTCAAATACGAACGCATTGATATAATGATCGTTAAATTCTGGGATCGTATGAAGAAGTTAAGACCTTTAGAACACAAGACCTAAACACTAAACAATCGAGATTGCAATGGCCATAAGTATGAACGGCCTCAAACACTTCATTAATGATTGTCCTATGTAGGATGTTGTAAGAAAAACTTAAAGAAATTGTTCATAAATAGTGAATGTGTACAAAAATAAGGAGTTATTTTTGCAACAAAAAAAAAAGGACTAAATGTGCAAAAAAATATGAAGAATTAAATATACAAAATGAGAAATATATTATCATATTAAGTCATTTTTTCCGGTTTACCTAGAGTGACCGATTATAAAGATTGAATATGTACAATTAAACAAATTGAAGGGGTAAATGTAAACAAAATAAAACTCAATGATAAAATGTGTATAAATTGAAAAATATATTACTTTTTAAGTCATTATCCTTATTATGAATTGATATGACCAAAAACTAGCCAAAGGACATGAGCATATTTTTTAACCGAATTTTAATTATTCTAAACGTACAAGAGTTTTTTTTTTTTTTCTTTTTTATGAAACTTAATGTTCCATAAAAATATGAGACCATAGAGAGCTTGTGAGTTGTGTTAGAAATGCGACAACGGCGTGAAAAAACGGATTTTGGACCGGATTTTAAAAGAGGTTTTGTATTCTATCAGAACCTGTTCATGACAAAACCTATTTTATTATTAAGATAAATTTTGTACCATCAAAGAGCTTTTAGCCCATCGGTATCCAGTGTTGTTCTTTCTCCTTGAGGTTGGGGGTTCAAGTCTATATTATGGTGGATCGAGACGTCGGCTATGCTTGTAGGACCATATGAAGTCGCTATTCTATTATTCTCCTCTGTGATTCTGTATGTGATTCTGTTACTGAGTATGACTATGTTGTTTCTGTTCTTTATGTTTTGTCCAATAGAATTTTCCAAAATAAATAATGGACCCACCCACTTTATATCATATCCATAATGCATGTGAATTGTGAAAGGTATTGGACCACTTGGATCATGCCTTCCAATTATGGTAAATGTGAAATGCACTCCACCACGCACCTAAAAGAAGTGGAAATTTATAGTCTCTCAAATATAAATACAATACATCATTTAAAATACTATGAATATATTTATGTGAAGATAGCTTACGAGTCCAACGAAGTTTTCAAATCGTTCAAAATCCCCAATCATGTTTTTTCTGTTCGAAAAAACCCAACAAACTTAACATTTGTCT